ATGGGGCACACACACACATGGAAATGTATGGGACACACACACACACATGGAAATGGATGGGGCACACACACATGGAAATGGATGGGGCACACACACACACATGGAAACGGATGGGGCACACACACACACATGGAAATGTATGGGACACACACACACACATGGAAACGGATGGGGCACACACACACACATGGAAACGGATGGGGCACACACACACACATGGAAATGTATGGGACACACACACACCCAAAACTGCATCCTGTCCTATGCCACTCATCACCTCCTCACAGCTAGGTATGGCCATGTGACTCAGAGTTTAGTAATGTACTTATACACGACATCTAGGATGTTCTGAGAAGGGTGGCATATCTCTTACCCCTCCTCTATTCTCTTGTTTGTCACATGAGTAAAGTGATGAGACAACCTGGACTAGGAAGGTGGGAGCCACATCGTTGTTGGCAGAGCCACAGAAGAGCCAAGACCTTGAAGGACACATGGTGCAGAGCTTCCCTGTCAGCAGCCACTCACCTAGGCCTACTGACCAGAACAGACACGTTCTACCTTGATCGAGCCATTGTGCTTCTGTAGCCAGTTCACCTCACACTATACACCTTAAGCAATACACTGATAGGAGCATATGACATAACATTCATAGAAACTATAAAGACCAGGAGCCCTATTGGGTTTTACAGTATGGAGGATAAAACCCAGGGCCCTCAAGTGAAACCTCTACCACCATGTTTAACTCCCAGTCCACCCAGGGCCTTTCAAGAAAGTATGTTGCAGTTATTATCAGTACAGGGATTGCTATTAGAACCTGTACAAATTAAAAAGCAAGTGAAGATGAATGGCCAGGTCCCACCACAGTCACTGCAAATCCCAGATCCCACCACAGTCACTACAAACCCCAGATCCCTGTCAGCACTTTGCTTTCAGTCAGCTGGGTGAGATTTTGCTTGGTTCTGTTTGTTCTGGGGTATTTACTGGAGAAGGAGTCTAACTATGGAACCCAAGCTGGGCTCAAACTCAGGGCAATCCCCTGCTCAGCCTCCCAACTGCTACATCAAAGGTGTGCACTACACTCATGAAGGCTTTAAAAAAAAAAAAAAGATTTATTTATTTCATGTATGTGAGAGTACACTGTTGCTATCTTCAGACACACCAGAAGAGGGCATAGATTCCATCACAGATGGTTGTGAGCCACCATGTGGTTGCTGGGAATTGAACTCAGGACCTCTGGAAGAGCAGTCAGTCCTCTTAACCGCTGAGCCATCCCTCCAGCCCCCCTCCCTTTTTTAATGTATTCATCTTATACACAAGTATATGGGTGCATTATGTGTGTATTGCCCATAAAGGTAAGAAGTCACCGAATCCCATGGAATTACAGTTATAGAAAGCTGTGAACCATCATGTGGGCCCTGGGAACTGAACCCAGGTCCTCTGCAAGAGCAGGAAGTGCTTTACTCATGAGCCTTCTCTCCAGCCCCTATTTCATTTTTTATTTAAAAGATTTATTTTAATTATGTATATGTGTGTGGCTACATGTAGGTTTGTGCACATGTGAGTGTACATATCAAGTCCAGAAGAGGGGGTCAGATCCCTTGGAGTCAGAGATACAGACTGTTGCGAGCCACTATGTGGATGCTGGGAACCACACTCGGTTCTCTGCCTGAGTAGATACATGTTCTTTACCAGTGAGCCACCTCTGCAGCACCAACCAACTACGAGGTTTTCAGAATAGAGATTATGTTCTTATTTACAGTGTTTTATTCCCAAATACAAAGTATTTTGAGTTACACATGAAGCACAGGGAAACAAGGGTCTATTTAATAGGGTCATGTACTAAGATCAGAGGCATTAGGCAAAGAACAGAACAAGAAGGAAAAGAGAAATGAAGGAGTCCCCAGTGTTCTGTCGCTTCTCTTTAAAACCGTTAGCTGCTAGGAGGTACTCAGGAAGGACATTAACATTTCATTATCTTTATGTGTGTATGGTGCATGTATAAATGCATGTTTGCATGTGAATGTACATGTATGCAGGTGCACATGAGGGTGACTGTGGAGGCCTGAAGATGATATCAAGTATCCTCCTCCGTTGCCCAGGTTTTGTTGGGATTTGGGGATCTAAACTCTGATCCTCAGACTTACATTACATGGCAAGCATTCCACCCACTGAGCCAATTCCCCAGCAGAAAATATTTTAGTATCTTTAAAAGTACTAAATAGTGAGGTAAAGAGATGGCTCAGTGGTTAAGAGCCCTGGCTGCTCTTTCAGGACACAAGTTCAGTTCCCAGTATCCACATGCTGGCTAACAACTATCTGTAACTCCATTCTCTGGAGACTGAACACCCTCCTTTTGCTTTTGAGAGTACTAGACATATATGTGGCACACATACATACATACATACATGCAGGCAAAACGCCCATGCATATAGTTTAAAAATTAAAAATAAATAAAAGCCATCTCCCCAGAACCCAACTTCTAAGTTCTTTTGTACAAGTGTATATGGGTGTATGTGTATGTATGTATATGTCTATGAGTATGTGCCAGCTAGTTTTATGCCATCTTGACACAAACTAGAATTATCTAAAGGAAGAGAACATTGGTTGAAAAACCTGCCTCCATAAGACCTAACTGTACAGCATCTTTCTTCCTTTTTCTTTCTCTCTCTCTCTCTTTCTTTTTTTGGTTTTTTGAGACAGGGTTTCTCTGTGGAGCCCTGGCTGTCCTGAAACTCACTCTGTAGACCAGGCTGGCCTCAAACTCAGAAATCCACCTGCCTCTGCCTCCCAAGTGCTGGGATTAAAGGTGTGCGCCACCACCGCCCGGCATGTACAGCATTTTCTTAATTGGTATTTGATGGAGATATCCCGAGTCCGCTGTGGGTGGTGCCATCTTTGGGCTGGTGGTCTTGGGTTATATAACAAAGCCTCTTATTATTACTGTGGTTGAACAGTCCTCCATAGCCTCTGCTGATCAGTTCCTGCCCTCACTGTTTTTGATGCAGCCCTGGCTGTGCTAGAACTCACTATATAGACCAGGTTGGCATCAAAACTCACGGAGATCCACCTGCCTCTACCTCCCAAGTGCTGGGATTAAAGGCATGAAGCGCCACACCTGCGTTCACACCTGTGTTTTCCCAAGTTTTTTCTTTAATTAATCTCTCTCTCTCTCTCTCACATGTGTGTGTGTGTGTGTGTGTGTGTGTGTGTGTGTGTGTGCGTGTGTTAAGTGTTAGCAGAAGACATGAGAAGGCATCAGATCTCCTGGAACTGGAGTTATTTAACAAGGCATTGTGAGCCATCAAGTGTGTGCTAGGAACTGAACCCAGGTCTCCTGCACACACACCATACATGTAACACATACCCAGATGTAAGACAAACATATGAACACACAGGATGGATAAAAAAGGTAAATGAATATCCTTCTACATGCTTTAAAGGAGGCCTTTCTCTTTAATCCACCTGTCCCACAGGATAAAGTGGTTTCCCACAGTAACTCACCAGTTCGGGATCATCTTCCTCTACATTTGTAGGCTTTCCTTCCTTCTTTAGTTGTTTCTTTCGCTCTTTAACCTAAAAAGAATTTTTTTTCATCAAAAGATGAGCACTCATCCTTCAAGAATAGTCACTGAGCTGTATGTATGTGACTTTTCCATAAGGCTAGGATAACACACTTTTCCATAGGTGTAGGAGAAGGTGAAGGCAACAGCCTCCTCCTGAACCATTAGTAGTAATAACTGTAATAACAACAATAATTTCTGATAGAAAACACTGTAAAACACAACTGAGACTTGGAGCCTTGGGTCCCTTCCTCTACCTCCATCTAAAACCCACTCTAGCCTGCACCCACACCAGACACCAGGGAAAGGGCAACCAGCAGAGATGTCCCCAACACACAAAGGCTGAGCCACAGCCAACAACAGCCTTAGACATGGCTGTTTAGCTTTCTGAACTTGTGGTCACATAGTTATAGCAAAGAAAGCACATTTGCCAAGCTTTAGAAGGATCTACAAAATGTGTGGCATTTTAGGTAAAAATAGTATTTCTAAAAGTGTATTCTTGATAGTTTCCACTGTGAATTCCCAGAACTATTATTTTCACATGTCACTAATGGATATGCTCATCACTCTGGCCAGTACTGAGCTCTTTTTTTAAAAAAAGAACTCACAGGAGACTGACACTACTCCCATCAGTGACCTACGAGAGGCGGCCAGGTTCAGAAACACTTTACTGCCACCTCATGGCCAAGAATTCTAATGATGATTCTTTATAAGCAAAATACAGAGAAGATTGAAGAAACTGTCCCATGCTCTTCTGACCCTACAAGTGCACTGTGACGGGCGACCAGCAGGACCTGGTTCCAGACCCTTCTTTTTCCTACTCTCCCTCCTCATCCATATCTAAGATGGGTCCATCTTTATTGTTATGGCCTACAACGTTCTGATTCAGATTCCAAAGCTCTTCAAAACAAAGGTGGACACCTGATTCAGCCTCCATTGAAATCACTCTTGGCATGGTCTTGAGATTCTTGCTCCACTGGTTTAAAAAAAAAAAAAGCAAGGCTTTTTAACTGGGCACAGTGGTGCGTGCCTACAATCCTAGCAACTGCACATGAAAAAAGATCAAGAATGCCAGGCCAAGTGCTCTTAACATAGCTCAGCAGCTGCTCCCGCAAGAATCCAGGTTCAGTTCCCAGCACCCACAGTGGCTCAGAACCATCCCATAAACTACCAGAGGATCATGCCACCCTCTTCTGACCTCTCTGTGTACCAGGCATGCCCATGGTGCACATACATACATGCAGACAAAAGATTCATACACATAAAATAAACAAATCTGACACTTATAAAGAATTTATAGCCAGTTTCAGGTGCATAGCAAATTCAAGGCCAGACTGAACTACATAAGACCCTCTTTCAAAATAATCCAACCAAGAAAAAAAGAAAGGTCTTTACACCTGGATGCAATGGCATATAACCCATAATCCCATGGCTCAGGAGGTAAAGCAGGAGAATTAAGAAGTCAAGACCAGCCCAGGCTATACTGTCCTGCAACCCCAGCAAGACCCCACTTTAAACAAACAAAAGTTGTAATTTAATTTGTTCATCTGAGTCTTCAGATTGCTGTCATTAATCTGTCATTAATTCACTAAGAGCTCCCTGACAGCCTCTCTTATTTCTAAATCCTTCAACAAAAGTATAACCAGGGAGTCAACGGGGTCAGAGCAGCTCCACCTCCCCACTCTGAGGTAGGATGGCACCTCGGCTGGAGAACAACAGTGGCTCTCAACACCATATAGGACTGGAAGGGAAGTGGGAATGGCGGCGTCCTAGCCACACCTCACCCTGAGCTCTCCTCTCAGGAAAGGATGGTAGCCTTGGGCACTATTCCTGAGCAGCACAGCTAACCTGTAGAGAGAATGACCAATGGTCTGCACTGCTAGGTTGCACACACCCTTCTACACGGTGCCCCAGGCTTGCTGTCACTTCCTGTAAATACAGCAGCACTAAAGATACTTACAGTGTGTTCCACGTATTCTTTTCCTGCCTGAATTACATCCAGGGCCCTCTTCTTTTGTTCCTGATCCAGTAGCAACTTGTAAGCTTTGTCCACAGCTAATGCAAAACATTGAAGTTAACTGTTTCTGCAAATACCCTCTCAAAGTCTGAGCTATACTCAGGCAGTGTAAATGGACTTGCACTGTCTAAAAACAGTCCCTACTTTGTTAAATTATTTACCGTTGTTAAACCCATTTAAAAAAAAAAAAAAAAGCATACAACCATAGCAATGACCTTGAAAGTCTTAGAAAAAATTATTAAATATACACTCAAGGCTAAATATACCATATCTAGATTTAACACATTGATAAAGTATGTCCCACTTATATTTAGCAAAGAATAACAACCTAAAAGTGTATTAGTAGACACTAAAGTTTTAACAATGCAAGGTTAAGGTGCACTTTCTTTGCAGTGCTGGGGATTGAACCCAGGGCCTCAAGCATGCTAGGCAAGCACTGAGCTACACACCCGGCCCCCACGGACACATTCTGCTTAAATGGCTGCTTTACTGAACTCCACAGCTTTTCCATAACCAGTTACTCCTGAGCATCAACTACATGTATTACTCAAATATAGGTAAATGTACAAATACCTTCAAAAGCCTTCTGCGCTCTGTCAGCATCGTCCTGGTTTTTGTCAGGATGTACCAAGATGGACAACTGCACAGAAGAAAGGAGGCAGGTTTAGCAGCAGTTCATGGACGTGACCTGAACTCTTCTGCACACCAGTAAGTAAAAATGTAAAATACGAACTTTTTGTAAGGGAATCTGGAGATGATTCTTTCAGACATCTATAATATTGATTCCTGACTCACTACCACTGATGGGAGAGAAATTACATGGAGCAAAAAGAACCATTTTGGGAGATGGAAACCTACTGTTAATCCCAGAAGTCGAAGACCCAAAGTCCTGATTTGTGATTCTAACTTCAGTCACATGCTAGCTTTGCAACCCTGAGCAACCCAGTCAGCCTATCTTCACCTCACTTCCTGCTCTATCTCCAGAAAGACACAAAGTACCTACATCTAGTTTGTTGTGAGGGCAAAATGACCAATGCGAATAATTAGTATAAACTGAATATAGAGACCCATTCTTACAACCTCAACACAGAGAAGGCTGGGCAGTGGATAAAGTGGTTAACGTTCAAAGTATCAAAACATCCACTGAAAGCCTTCTGTATGTGACACCTCATTTAACTATCTGGACACATTTACCAGATGAAGTAAAATAGACCCATAAAAGCCCAAAGCACTTGTTCAAGTACACAAAGCTCCTAAGTCAGAGAAGAGATGTAAACTAAAGTCATATGTACTCTTAATTATAAAGCCATCTAATCAACCACTAAGAAGTCCTAACTCATTGATCAGGAGACGTTTAATTAAGGACTAAAAATAAGTTTTCTATCGGGAATAACTGCTAATGGACTGTACTGGAAAACAAGACTGGGAAGAGAAGAGGATGGGCTGCTACATTTAAGCACAGATCAGAGCTCAGGAAGAATAAATAAAGCTATACGGTTATATAATGGGAAATGACTGAGCAGGCAAAACCAAAAAACATCTTAGCTTAATATAGCCTGTGGGAGCTCGGAGGAACTATGAGTCAGCAATGTGGAAATCTGCCTCACTAGAGGGAGCACTAGAGGGTGTTAGTACAACCAGTAAAACTGCTGTTCAGAACTGGAGTGTGACAGTCAGCACTGGCCAGGACCCACTCACATGTGAGAAGCATGACAATATAAAGAATATAAGAAGGTAAGAAGACATTGGCAAGAACCAGAGACCAGAGAGCTACTTTCCTGAAGAAATCTCAAAACGCACTGTTACATTAAGCCAGGTAATTTACTTCTTAGAAACTTCTTACATTTATTGGGGTGGAGGGCGTGAACACATCCCGTGGCAAGTGTGTGGGGATCAGAGGACAATTTGTTAGAGTCAGCTCTCTCCTACAATATGGGTCCCCAGGATCACACTCAGGTCGTCAGGCTTGACAGCAGTCACTTTTACCTGCTGAGTCATCTCACTAACCCAAGCGAGGTATTTCTTGAGTATTTATGACCATTTGCAAGACGTAAAGTTACTGAGTGAGTTGGGCGTATGGTATGTGCCTGTCATCCTACCTACTTAAAGGCTATGGTAGGACAATCATATAAACCAAGTGTTTGAAGACAGTCTCACAACATGAGATCCTATCTCAAATAAAAATATGTCTGTAGTTACTCTATTTGGATATAAAAATCCTTATACCCACAGAAAAACTTTTACTCTTACATTATTTAACACTTTATATCATTATATGTACATGTCACTGTAAAGTTATGACAACAGCTATCTAGCCATAATTTGGAAAGGAATGTGGGGTTAATTTCAGCCCCAAAATATCCAGTCCTCAAAAATCGTGTCTAGGATGTACCTGAATTGATAGAGTGCTTGTCTTAGTATATATGAAAACCTGGGACAGGCAATGGTGGCGCACGCCATTAATCCCAGCCCTTGGGAGGCAGAGGCAGGCGGATTTCTGAGTTCGAGGCCAGCCTGGTCTACAGAGTGAGTTCCAGGACAGCCAGGGCTACACAGAGAAACCCTGTCTCAAAAAACAAAACAGAAAAAAAAAAAAAAAAGAAAGAAAAGAAAAGAAAGAAACTTTAGGTTCAATCCCCAACACCCTGTAAACCAGGTGTGGCACACACCTGTAATCCCAGAACTCAGGCAGGAAAAGCAGGATCCCAAGTTCAAGATCACCTTTAATTCACAATAAAGACGCTAGACAAGCCTAAGCTGCATGAGACCCCATCTGAAGAAACAAACAGGAAGCCCAAACTCTAATGAGAGCAACAAGACCGTACCTGACGAAACCTCTTTTTTATTTCTTCATCTGTCACTTCAGGATCTATCTGAAGAACCTGGAAGAACCAAGATCAAAACTGTAAAGCTGGACATGGTTGCCCATATGTCATCTCAATCCTAGGAAAACAGAGGCAGAAAGATGGTAAGTGCGGGGCCAGCCTTGGTTACAAGCAGCACAGTCCCAAAACAAACAAAAACAGAAAATTGGGGGTGGAGGAGTAGGCCTAGAATCCTACCACATAAGATCAGAAAGTCAAGACCTTCCTTGACTATGTAACAAATACAATGCCAATCTTGAGACATGAGACATTGTCTCAAAACAAACCCAGGAGGGGAGAGAAACCTGTGTATGTGTGCATGTTTAAGTATGTATCCACTTCAGTCCTGGACAGTATAATTAATATCATTAAGTAAAACCAAGTGAAGTGCTAGACACTCAGTCTCATAGTCCAGAACTCAGTATCAGAGCACAGAGCTCACCTGGGACAAAGAAAGAAGAGAATGACCACCCAAGTAGTATTTAGTCAAAGTGCTAGAGCCCAGGCTGGGTGAGAACAGTATCCACATAGAACAGCAGCTTGACATGGAGTGCCAAGAAAGAATGAGGGCAAGCCCAGAGTCAGGCTGCCAAGCAAATTCTGTCTGGTAAAGCTATGAACATGGGCGCAGCATACTGGTTCACACCTATAATCCTAGTATTTAGGAAGTTGAGACAAAACTGTTGAGAGTTAAAGACTAGGGGCTGGAGAGATGGCTCAGTAGTTAAGAGTACTGATTGTTCTTCCTGAGGTCCTGAGTTCAATTCCCAGCAACCACATGGTGGCTCACAACCATCTAATGCCCTCTTCTGGTGTGTGTGAAGATAGCTACAGTATACTCATATAAATAAATAAATCTTTAAAAAAAAAAAAAAAGAGTTAAAGGCTGACCTAAGCTAAAAAGAGAGATTCTGACTATAAAAACAAAAACAGGGGCTGGAGAGATGGCTTCAAGGTTAAGATCATGCACTATTCTAGAACAAGAAGAGCTCAGCGCCAGGAAATACAACAGGTCTGGTCCCCTCCCACCCACTTACATATGCAGAGACCCACACACAGACATATACACATAATTTAAAATGAGACCCACACACAGACATGTACACATAATTTAAATAAAAACAGTGGCTAGAGAGATGGCTCAGTGATTAAGAATATTCATTGTTGCCGGGCGGTGGTGGCGCACGCCTTTAATCCCAGCACTTGGGAGGCAGAGGCAGGAGGATTTCTGAGTTCGAGGCCAGCCTGGTCTACAGAGTGAGTTCCAGGACAGCCCGGGCTACACAGAGAAACCCTGTCTCGAAAAACCAAAAAAAAAAAAAAAAAAAAAAAGAATATTCATTGTTCTTGCAGAGAACCCAAATTTGGTTACCAGCTCCCATCCTGGATGGCTCACAACTACCTGTAACACCAGGGAATCCAACATGTCTGGTCTCTATTTGCACCTGGACTGATGAACACAAATCCACACATGTTCACATAATTTTAAAAGTCTATGTATACATGTATGTATGTATATGTTGTGGGTGTATATAAAAATAAACCTTAGCCAGGCACAGTAAGTAGGGCACCCCTTTAGTCCCAGAACTCAAGAGGTAGAGGCAGGAGGATCTCTCGAAGTTTGAGGCTAGCCTGGTCTACAAAGTAAGTTCCAGGACAGCCATCACCACACAGAGAAACTCTGTCTTGAAAAACAAACAAAAAAACCGAAATCAAAACAAACAAACAAACAAACGGGCCTATCTAGTATGCACAATGGTAAAATGCTTTAGTAACATCTGAAGCCCTTTGAGTTTGATTCCCAGTATCAAAGATCAGAGAGAGTGAGAGGGAAGAGGGAGAGAGAGGGCTCAGTGGTTAAGAGCACCAACTGGATATAAATGGGGGGCTGGGGGGGGGCTCGTAATTGAGAGCACCCACTGGACAGTCAGCACCCACACAGTGGATCACATCCCCCAGCTCTGACACCTCCTAGATTCTAGGCATGTACATGGCATACATATACAAATGCAGACAAAGCACACACATACATTAAAAATTTTAAAATAATAATAGTGCATTTGGAGGATTAAAAGGACAGACCTGACACAGAGCCACTGAGGGCAGCACCAGAATCTGTCTGCCACCCTGCGTTGGAGAAAAAAAGGAAGACACACTGCCAACTCACTGCAATTTGAGGCAAATGACTTTTGCCTTGCTATCACATGAAAAACAGTGATTAGTGTTGAGAAGAAATGTTCAGAGGCAGGTGCAGTGGAGTACTGCACACTGTACTCCTTCCTGGCACTCAGGAAGGTGAGCAGGAGGACTAGGCTGAGTCGCCCTGGGCTACATTAGAGATATGTTCAAAAACACAGAGGGCATTAGCTTCTCTAAAATCTCCTAGTCTTAGTTCTGTTATTATTGAATATCTGGTGTTTTTTATTTTCCTGTAACAAAAAAAGTTTTAACAACGTTTTCTGCTTTGTTTTCTTTGGTTTTTTGAAACAAAGTCTTGCTGGAGCCCTAGGCTGGCCCAAGCCTTGCTATGTAGACCAGGCTGGCCTCAAAGTTGTAGGGATATCCCTGCTTCTGCCTCCCACGTGCACAGAAAATTACATACCTGGCATTACAATTTTTTAAGGTAAAGGACTATAAATGTATCAGGCCAGCTACAGCAAACAAACAAATCCTTATTTGGGCTTCTAAAGGTTGGAGAACATTTAACAGGATGAAGTTTACCTCATTTTTTTTTTTAAAGCTGCCTCAACAAGTCTACTCAAAATAAAACCATTCAACCTCAAAGACAACCTACCCACTACAAAAATTTCACTACTTTCCCCTTTTTTTTCATTCCCAACCACTAGAACCTGAGGTACAAGCTGTAACGTAAGTCTGCTCCCAAGCCGGTGGGTTCAACAGCTTACACCTATAACCCAAGCACGTAGAGCCTGAGGCAGAACTACAGTCAGAGCCAAGGCCACAGTGAGCTACAGTAACATCCTTCTTCAGAAATAGCTAGCGGGTCTGCTGATTCGTTTCCACAATCTCAGCATTTGAGAGGTTGAGGCAGGAGAATCTGGAGTTCAAAGCCAACCTTGAATACATGAGACTGTCTCAAAACAAACAAACAACCCTACACACATATATTTATGGAAAGCTATCCACAACAGATGCTACAGCAACAATCATGAACTCGTACATGTATGTCTGCACACAGGAAAAACTCTCCCCCCAGACTCTACAGTAACAATCTGCTCACCTCAAATGGGTTCAGATTAAAGTAAGAGGAACCAGGACGAGTCAATCTTTCAATTTGATTTTTGGACGTTAGAACTGAATCTCTCTTCTCTATTTGTTTCACCTAAAAGTAAAAGAATTGATAATTCCATTAGTAAAAATAATAAGTGAATGTCTACTTTAACACAACACTAATAAGCTCAGTAAATAACTATTCATATCTACCATGTGCAAGGCACTTTGCTAAACTGAAGGATGATTACAGCAGCATAACTATTTTATAATGGTGTTTCAGATATCCACCATCCACGTTAAAGCTAAGCATGGGCATATGCGTCTGTAACCCCAGAGCTGGGAAGGGGAAGACAGGTAGATTCCCAAAACTCACTGGACATCCGGTCTAAACTGCTGAGCGCCAGGTTCAGTGACATATCTTGTCTCAAAAAAGTCACATGGACGATGAAAAGACATATGACAATGACCACTGTGCCCACTAGTGCATACACACATGTACACGACGTGAAATTTTTAAATTTTACACTTATGTCAACAATTCTACTTCACAGGGCTTACCATTATACCCATGTTTTTCTTTTTTAAAAGTGTTTATTTATTTAATGTATGAGTACACTGTAGCTGTCTTCAGACACACCAGAAGAGGGCATCAGATCCCATTACAGATGGTTGTGAGCCACCATGTGGTTGCTGGGAATTGAATTCAGGATCTCAGCAAGAACAGCCAGCACTCTTAGCGGCTGAGCCATCTCTCCAGCCCCCATTATCCCTATTTTACACGTAGGAAAATTATGACTTACAGAGACTGAGGTTTCTAATTACCTAACTTGTGAGAAATTTTCCCTAACAGTTTGACTCACAATCAGACGTCAAAATGATTCCCAGATAATAAACACAGCTACCACCACATAACTAGATACCTGCATGTGGGTACAATTATTCAATCTTTTTTCATTTTGAAAGGAAAACTGCAGCTGCACTGAACCATGACCATGAGCAACACTCAACACCATTATGGGGGACCTACAAGGTGGCTCAGTTGGTGCAGTGCTTGACTAGCGTGCATAAAACCCTGGGTTTGATCCTTGGCAAAAGAAATTAGCTGGATGAGGAGGCTATTTCCTCTATATTAGCATTTGGGAGGATGAAACAAGAGAATGACTCCCACTTCCAAGCAGCCTGCAGTGCAAAGTGCAGAAAGCCCACCTAAGCGTCATTGAGAACTTGTCTTAAAAACAAAAAGACAAAACAAAGCAAAAATAGCCGGGCAGTGGTGGAGCACGCCTTTAATCCCAGCACTTGGGAGGCAGAGGCAGGTGGATTTCTGAGTTCGAGGCCAGCCTGGTCTACAGAGTGAGTTCCAGGACAGCCAGGGCTACACAGAGAAACTCTGTCTTGAAAAAACAAAACAAAAACAAAAAGACAAGCTGGGTGATGGAGGCAACTATCTTAAGCAGACAGGTGAATTCAAGGCAAGCCTGGTCTACAGACAGAGTACCAAGACAGCTGGGGTTATACACAGGAAAACTCTTGGCTCAAAAAGGCAAAAATAAATTTTAACAAATATAATAAAAAGACAAAAAGAGGGATATAGAGTACGTGCTGATTCCCAATGTTAAACTGGGAACCACATGAATTCTTCTCTGCTTCCTGCCTGAAGATGTGAACTGCCCTGCCTCCATTTTCCACCAAGATGGACTGAAATTTCTCAAACAGCGAGCAAAGCAAAATATGCCAACACTGTGAAAAAAAAAATTACTTCATAAGGTAACAAGTATTCTTATAAGCACAAGAGATAATGGCTCTAGTCCTAGCACTTCGGAGGCTGAAGCAGGAGGGTCCAACCTGGGCTACCAGGAAGTACTTAGTTCAAAAACGAATGTTTTGCTTTTAGTTTATAATTTTCAAGCTGCTTTCTTATACATTAAATCCTCTAATCATCGTGAAAACTCTTACAATATTAACTCACAAGTGTGGGATCGGATGTCTTGAAAGACTTCAACAGCAGTTAGGCTAATTGCCTTGCAAGATCTCAATGTGAGGGCCTCTGACGCCAGATAGCCTGCTTTTACTCAGTTTATCCATTCATTTAATCAACGAATATATGCGAAACATCCACCACGCATTAGGCATTGGCGATGCAAATGTCAACAAGGCTCAGAGCAAGTTCACTCCTGTCCTACCTGACACCAAGTACGTATGCACCCTCTTAAGGTTCGTCATGTAAAGATGGGGGTCACATAACGCATTCTTGTCACGATGAACAGTGCTCAGCACTGATAAACCGCAGAAATCGCCACTCACACAATTCATGGCAGAGGAGTGGGAAAAGGCCTCCCTCCTGTTTACAAATAAAAGTAGGTGCGCCGCAGCTCGGCCTCCGGCAGCCGGAGACTCCACAGCCAGCAGGCTGTATCGCGCGACAAGCAGCTCGCCGGCCCGTCTCCGGGTCTGGGTCCGCAGGCCCAGCCGCCCCGCCGCGTTCCGGGGACCTCAGCAGCCACAGTGGCGGTCGCGCACGCACTCCGCAGCCGGTCCGCAGTCCCCAGGCCAGGCGGCGCGGGCCAACGGTCCGGGAAGGGGTCTCGCCGCCCCCGGCCTCGGCGGACGGAGCCGGAGCGCGGTCGCCCTGAGGCCACCATCCTTACTCCGGGCTCACCTCACTGTAGAAGGTCATAAATGCCTCCTCTGTGCTGCCTCCGCCGCCCGAAGCACCACTCTCTCCCGAAGCCGCCATTTTCCCGGCCAGCCACACGTGACCGTTCTGCGCAAGCGCAGTCTCACGTGATCGTCCAAGCCCGCCTTCTCGGACTCGCCTCCGTCGGCCAGCTGTACTTAAAGGGACAGAGACTTTTTACTTTTTGGTTTTGGTTTTGGTTTTTGAGAATAAGGTTTCTCTGTGTTGCCCTAGTTGTCCTATATAGCTCACTATATAGGCCATGGTGGCCTCGAATTCAGACATCTGTCTGCCTCTGCCTCCCGAATGCTGAGATTAAAGGTGTACTTGGGCTTTTTAAAAAAATTAAAGGGCCTTCGAGATGGCTCAGCCAGTCAGGGTGCTTGCCTCCAAACCTGACAACCCAAATTCAACCCCAAGACCCACAGAGTGAAAAAAAGACTCCCAAAAGTTGCCTTCTGACTTCACACGTATGCCATAGCCAGCCGATGCAGACCTCACACACTCTTTTTTATTTTCGAGACAGGGTCTTTCTACATTGGCCTGGCTGCTGGAACCCACGATGTAGACTAGGCTGGCTTTGCACTCACCGAGATCAGCCTGCTTCTGCTTCCAGAGTTCTAGGATGAATGCACCACTATGTCTAGCCACATATATTTTAATTAAAAAAAATTTTTTTTATTTCCAGAACAGCCAGGGCTGCACCAAGAAACCCTGTCTTGAAAAATCACTATGTATGTGTCCCCTCTTCCCCAGTCTCTGACAAAAAGCAATCCTTTGTCTCTGTATATACCTATTATTCTAGACCTTTCCCATGGATAGAATCTACTTCTTTTTGTATTTAGTTTTTTTTTTTTTTTTTTTTTTTTTGTTTTTTGAGACAGGGTTTCTCTGTGTAGCCCTGGCTGTCCTGGAACTCACTCTGTAGACCAGGCTGGCCTCTAACTCGAAAATCCGCCTGTCTCTGCCTCCCAAGTGCTGGGATTAAAGGCGTGCGCCACCACTGACCGGCTTTAGGTTTTTTCATGTAGCAGTTTTTTGTTTTTTGACAAAGGATTTCTCTGTGTAGCCTTGGTTGTCCTGGAATTCTCTCTGTAGACCAGGATGACCTCAAACTCACAAAAATTCACCTGTCTCCCGTGAGTGCTTCGATCTGCGTGGGTAACCACCAAGTAGCATTTTTTAAAAGTTTATCCCAGTGAAGTCTATCCTAGTACTCAAGAGGCAGGGAGAGGCAGATCTTCTGAGTTTGGGGCCAGCCTAGACTATAGAGTAGGTTCCAGGACAGCCAGGCCTGTGAAGAAAAACCTGTCTCAAAAAAAAAAAAAAAATACTGCATTTTATGGTGGCATTAAATTCCACAAAAGTATGTCTATGCGATCATTTGTTGACCTCTTCAGTAGTTCAGCATTTGGGCTATTCTCACCTTTGGACCATTGTGAAATAGTATTATGAAGCTGGGCACACGCCTGTAACCACAAAACTTGGAAGATGGAGGCAGAAAGAAGAGGAATCACAGCTCTCTTCATTGGAAGTTTGAGGGCATCCTGAGTTACAACAGATCTCATCTAGGGAAGGAGAGACAAAATGGGATGGAAGATATTATGAACACGCATGTACAAGTATTTGTGCTTGTAGTTATACTTATTTATTGGTGGGGGTACTATGCCACAATGCACATGGAGAGGTCAGAGGACATCTTTCAGGTGTCAGTTCTCTCCTTCCACCACTGAGGTCCAGCACTAGCCCTGTGTTTGGGGTAGGTGGTGTTTGTTTCTTAAAACAGGATCCTGCTGTGAAGGCCTGGTGGGCCCAGAATTCCCGTTGTCCAATAGGCTAGATTAAATACGTCTGCTCTTTCTCTCTGCATGTGCCTGAGAAATGCTGGGATTACAGGTTTGTACCACCAGTTCGCCTGATGTTCTTTTCAGTGTCGTTGTACTCCGTCCCTGTCACCAAGATATTATTAGGTCCATTCACCGACATATTAATATAGTTCAAAAATACTAACTCACTACCTACTAAGGCTCTGATGGCTTCACAAGGTAAACTGTGAGAAAATACTCAGAAGCAGGATAAAAAATTGCTGACGTCAGGATGACTAGGACAGTCAAAGAAGGGTTTGTCTCAGAAAGTGACATTTAAGGTGAGAGAAGAGACTTCGGTGGCAATATAACCAAAGAACAAGAACACCTCTTAAGAGATGAACACGATTTCATATGTATAAATAAAGGTATGCTGGAATTCGATATCCAGGCTGTCGGCATCGTAGGCATAGCTACCACAAACCTTGTATTTCCCCAATCTACTGATGTCCATAGGGATTGCCATCATGTACATTTTTAATAAAATCGACCTTAGGACTGAAATTGTGCGGTGGGAGTAAACGAAATGCCTCATTCTAACGAGACCAAAAGCCAAGATTTCATCTTCTGGCATCGCTCGGTAGACTCCCGGGTCATGATACGTCAGAGCCCAGTTTATTAGCTAAAGCGTGAAACAGTCTCCCTCACAACAATCGCTGCGGAATGTCATAAGCCCCGCCTCCTCCCTCCTGATTCGCTGTTTCCGTGCTCGTCCCGCCTCCCCGCCGTCTAGATTGGAAATTCAGACGCCCTCGCAGTTAGCGCGCTAGGACAGGAGCAGCCACTCCCGCGGCGCTAGCTGAGCAGCGCCGAAGACAATGGCAGGCTCGGCGTTGGCGGCTCGGGCTCGGCTCGGTGTCTGGGGTATGAGAGTCCTGCAAACCCGAGGCTTCGGCTCGGACTCGGTAGGTGGCGGCACGACCCATCGCGGAGCGCGGGTTCTCTCACCCTTGTTGTGCCTTTTTTTTTTTTTCTTCATGTCCACTACTCTCTCTGCAGTCGGATAGCATGGATTCGGGCGCTGGCTCCATTCGAGAAGCTGGTGGGGCCTTCGGAAAACGAGAGAAGGCTGAAGAGGATCGGTACTTCCGGTGAGGCCCACCTGGTCCTAAGTCCAACCCCCAATCGCCCTCCCTGTCCTTTCTACGGTCTCTGTCGCTCCACCCATCTTTACCTGGTCCCCTGGGGCGCCCATCTTCTGGCAGAATTCCAAGGCCGATGAAGCCATCTCGTCTCATCGTGGTCGAGACAGGCAGCATCACACTGCTGGCCTCCCACCCAGTCCTGAGCCTTATACACCGGTTCTGCAGGACTCAGCCCAAGGCTCGTCTCCTAATTTATCATTTGCCCTCTTCTTCCCCGACCGCCCTAATCTCCTGCGCACCCCGGATTGTGCGAGACTCCCCCAGGTGCTCTGAGCGGTGTTTACATCCAGCTAGCCAGGACATACAGAGCCTCTGAGCCCGGCCCACTCACTTGTCACCCCCCATCTTTTCTCCCCAACTTCCCTCTCCTTTCTTAGTTTTTGTAAGGCTGCGTCCATTCCCTGAGGCCTCAGATCCTGTCAGCCATTTCTAGATCCTGCACGTGTCTCCAATTCTCAAGAACTAGGTAGTACCTGCTCAAGGTTAGACTTCCCTCACTCCGGGAGACTTTTGCACTACTCAGGTCCTGAGTTGTACATTTGTCTCGACTGCTTAGAAATAGGGAGTGGACTAGGTCTATCTACAACCTTTCCCGGCCCTGAGTTATCTTTAACTAACTTCTGTCCACTGGAGAGCAGCCAGAAACTAATCTTGCTTCCGTTTCTCCTTTGGTCTCTGTCCTAAGCCCATAGGAGTTGTTGCTCACTTATAGAATAAGAGCTTAAACAGAGCCTGGCGGTGGTGTTGCACACCTTTGGTTCCAGCACTTGGGAGGCAGAGGCAGGCGGATTTCTGAGTTCGAGGCCAGCCTGGTCTACAGAGTGAGTTCCAGGACAGCCAGGGCTACACCGAGAAACCCTGTCTCGAAAAACCAAAAAAAAAAAAAAAAAAAAAAAAAAAGAGCTTAAACAGAGACCTGGGGTTCAAGTCTCGTTACTAAAACAATTATCAGGATGGCCTCAGCCTTCCAAGTGTTGGAATTATAAGCTTATACCACCACTCCTGGCTTGGGACCTATGTCCTTTGCCTTATGTATTCTTGTTTTGTTGAATTGTGTGGTTTTTTTTTTTTTTTTTGGTTTTTTTTTTTTTTTTTTTTTGGTGTTCTGGGGACAGAGAAGGGGACAGAAGCAGGCAGATCTCTATGAGTTTGAGACCAGATTGGTCTACATATGGAGTTCTACGACAGCCAGACATAAAGAGACCTTGTTTAAAAAGAAATGCAGCCAAAACACTCATACAAGTAAAATAAAAACAAATGTCAAGGGCTGGAGATATGGCTCAGAGGTTAAGAGCACTGACTGCTCTTCCAGAGGTCCTGAGTTCAAATCCCAGCAACCACATGGTGGCTCACAACCATCCGTAATGAGATTTGATGCCCTCTTCTGGTGTGTCTGAAGACAGCTACAGTGTACTCATAAATAAAATAAATAAATCTTTCTAAAAAAAAAAAAAACTTTAAAAAAAAAAAAAAAAAACAAATGTCAAAAAGAAAAAGAAGCTGACCACAGTGTTGCACACCTCTATTTAAACATCCCTGTACGTGCATTGGTGCTTTTGTGTATATGTGTACACGCTTGTGCCAAGTGTGTGGGGACCATCAGAAGCCAGAGTCAGTAGATTCCTAAAGTTGCAGTTTCAGATAGTTGTGAGGTACCTGACATTGGTGCTGGGAATTGAATTTGGATTCTTCCTTAAGAAAAATACATTATCTTAATCTCAGAGCCATCTCCCCACTCCCAATTTTGTGTGTGTGTGTGTAGTGTGTGTGTGTATTGCCTACATATGTATGTATGCTTCATGAGTACCTGGTACCTGTGGAGGCTAGAACCCTGGAACCACATTTACATGTAGTTGTGAGCTTCTGTGTGGGTTCTAGAAATGAAACCTGAGTTCTCTACAATAGCAAGTGTTCTTAATCATTGAGCCATGTTCCCTCCCAGCTCAGGAAGCTTAAATTCGGAACCTATCCAAAGATAGCAGTTGGATCCCCGGAATGGTTACAGATGGTTGTAGGCCATCATGTGGATGCTGGGAACTGAACCCCAGTCTTCTGCAAGAGCCGCAGGT